CCTGCACTGCTGGTGGGAATGTAAATTGATACAGCCACTATGGAGAACAGTATGGAGGTTCCTTAAAAAACTAAAAATAGAACTACCATATGACCCAGCAATCCCACTCCTGGGCATATACCCTGAGAAAACCATAATTCAAAAAGCTACATGTACCACAATATTCATTGCAGCACTATTCACAACAGCCAGGACATGGAAGCAACCTAAATGTCCATCAACAGATGAATGGATAAAGAAGATGTGGCACATATATACAATGGAGTATTACTCAGCCATAAAAAGGAACGAAATCGAGTTATTTGTAGTGAGGTGGATGGACCTAGAGTCTGTCATACAGAGTGAAGTAAGTCAGAAAGAGAAAAACAAATACCGTATGCTAATGCATATATATGGAATTTTACAAAGTGGTGCTGATGGACCTAGTGGCAGGGCAGGAAAAAAGATGCAGATGTAGAGAACGGACTTGAGGGCACAGGGTGGGGGAAGGGGAAGCTGGGATGAAGTGAGAGTAGCATTGACATATATACACTACCAAATGTAAAATGGATGGCTAGTGGGAAGCATAAGGAGATCAGCTCCATGCTTTGTGATGACCTAGAGGGGTGCGATAGGAAGGGTGGGAGGGAGGGGATATGGGGATAATGGGGATATATGTATACATATAGCTGATTCACTTTGTTGTACAGCAGAAACGAACACAACATTGTAAAGCATTTATACTCCAATAAAGATGTGAAAAAAAAATGCTGTTGTGTGCAGCTCAAAACAGAGGGAGGTTTAAAAAAAAACAACAAAAAAAGACTCTTTACCCTGCAGTTGACAGAAACACAACTCAAACTGGTTCACATAATCAAAAGTTTCCAAGGATAAGGCTTCAGGCATAGCTGGGTCTACACGTTCACATGATGTCATCAAGACTTAGTCCTGTGAATTCCTCAGCAGTCCAGTGGTTAGGGTTCTGCGCTTCCAATGCCGAGGGCCCAGCTTCAATTCCTGGTCAGGGAACTAAGATCCCAAAAGTGGGGGGAGGGGGGCGCGGGGAGGGGGGACTTAGTCTCTCTCCATCTCTTGACTGGTCTTTCCTCTGGATTTTCTTCACTCTCCAGCAGGCAGGTGACGATATGCCACCAGCAACTGCAGCAGCGCAACAAAAACAGGAATTCTTTGACCTCAGATTGCCAACAAGAACCAGAAGTTGGTTCCCATGGGACTGGCTTGGACCACGTGGCCACTGCTGAATCAAACATGGAGGCCAGGGGGATGGATGCTTTAATCAATGAGACCTCAGTGGTGGTCTCAACAGGAAGATGGTTCAATAAACAGACATTAACAAGAAGAAACAAAAGGATAATGAACCTCTACCACCATCTTTAGTTTCTTTCCAGGAGGAACTCTCCCTATGGGACTAATAGGGCACCATACACTGGATTAGTGTGTCCTCGGTTACAAAATGTTTCTCACCCTCACCTTGACTCTTTTTTTTTTTTTTTTGGCCACCCCACACGGCTTGCAGGATCTTAGTTCCCCAACCAGGGATCGAACCCAGGCCGCAGGCAGTGAGGGTGCTGAGTCCTAATCACTGGACCGCCAGGGAACTCCCTAACCCATTTAATCCTCACCACCTGCCCGTGAGCCAAGGGCATACCTTGGCTGTATACCCTTTGTCGAGATGAGGCAACTGAGACAGAGACATTAAGGGGCTTGGCTAAGTCACAAAGCAGGTAAGGAGTAGACTGAGGTTCTGTGGAGAGGCGTGTGCAGAAAAAGAGGAAACACACTGAACCCAGGCAACGTCCTCTGTGTGTCAAGCTCCCCCACCTCCTCCACCACATCCTCCCCATTTGCCCGCGTCTCTGCTGCAGCCCCGTGTCTCCGTGTCTCTGCTGCAGCCCCGTGTCTCCTGCCTCTGTCCCTTATCATCAGCTACTGCCAGCTTCACCACACCTCCTCCTCGACCTTTGCTCCGGGCTTGTTTTTCCCTCTGGACCGGGGAACCTCGGGCTCACTTTCACTTGCTGCCTGTCCTTTCCAAGAGCCTCAGCATGTGCACGGGAAAGTGCGCCCGCTTCGTGGGGCTCTCCCTCATCCCCCTCTCCCTGATCTGCATTGTGGCCAACGCCCTCCTGCTAGTGCCCAACGGTCAGACCACCTGGATCAAGGACTGCCTCAGCTTGCAAGTCTGGCTCATGGCTGGCTTCATCGGCGGGGGCCTGATGGTGAGAGGGCTGGCCAGGGCACACGGGCCAGGGGGCTGGGTGCCACTCTCCGGGGTCCTGAACAGGAGGGAGAGGGAGTGAGGGAAAAGGATGGCTGCCCGGGAAGGGATGGCGGTAGCTTGGTGGGGGGACCGGAGCCTGCCCAGGCTGCCCCCAAACACTGAGCACTCTGTAGGGGAGGTTCTCAGCCCCAGGGTCCTGAGCTGAATGTCTGAGGGGGATGAGAAGGAAGGAGCCTTACTGCTCGAAACTCTTCCCTCCTGGGTAGGGAGTATGTCCTACCAGCCCCTCGCCATCCTCACCGCTGAGCAGACGCTGGAAACACCTCATTACAGGGGTTGAGGCAGAAGGAACAGCTGGTTCCATGGGAGGTTATCAGGTTAAGACAATAATGGGGCTTGGTGTGGGTGTGGTTTACAGTGACAGTATCTGGAGCCAGGGAGCGATGTCGCAGATCAGTCTTTCTACCTATCAACTCAGTGTCACTTCCCCCATTTCCATGTCCCTTCACTCTCCACCCAGGTTCCTGGATGCCCACTGTGCGCTGGGCACTAAGGATAAACTCAGAACTCGGGTCAGTATGGTGGAGAAGGGGTCCCGTGGCTTCCTGGAGACTAGGATCTGTCAGGAGAAGTTGGGGAAGGGGAGACACAGACTTCCTGGACTTTCTAACCCCCATTCGCCACCCCCCTCCCCACTCAGGGAACTTTTTTGTTGTTTTGTTTGTTTGTGCACCGCGTGGCATGCAAGTTCTTGGTTCCCCCACAAGGGACTGAAACCGTGCCCACTGGCTTAACCGCTGGACCGCCAGGGAAGTCCCTAGGGGAACTTTTTGGAAGGTCAAGCGAATCTAACATCTTTATGGCATGAAGATAAAAGATCTACCCGGCACGGTTCCCCACTTCTCAGGATGGCTGACTGATGAAATTCTCAAGGGGATGCCTCACCTTTGTCTCTTTCACTGGCCACAAGTCTGATAGCTAATGGGGACACCTCTTCTCCTTTACCCAACAATCCCCTCTTACCCATCCAGGTCTTTCCTCCTACTCCCCCCACCCATGGATTTATGGCTGTTGGACTCCGTGCCATGCCTCTGACCTCAACCCTCTCTGAGACGTCACACTCCTCCCAACCCCACCCTCTCCGCCGCTGTCACATCACACCCCTCCTCCAGCCCAAACCACCACCACCTCCCCACGATCTTACTTGCCTGCTTCTGGGGAGACCCCCAAGGATGCCCCCCCAACATGCTCATTCCCAGCTTCCCTCCAGCCTCCATGCTCTCAGCCACCCTGGAGAAGGTTCTCAAGTGTATTCACAGTTACTGCTATACCACAGGGACACAGGTGAGGGCCCTGCACTCCCTGAAGCAGGTGTTTCTGCTGGAGAGACACACAGTATCAAGGAAGCAAAAATGTACGCCCCACAGGAGGAAGGGCTGCCTGTTTCACTGGCTGCTGTGTGCCAGACGCCTAGGCCTGGATTAACAGGCACTGGATTAATAGCGAATGAACAAAGTAAACAGACGAGTGAGATGATCTCAGATAAAAGTAGGGACCATCAAGAAAACAAAGCAGGATGCTGTGTAAAGAGCTCCTGAGGCAAGGCGGGGGGGGGGGCACTTTTTATAGCATTTTCAAGGAAGGCCTTGATGAGGTGACTTCTGAACTGAGACCCAAAAGACAAAAAGAAGGAATCAGCATGACAGACAGGTGAGTACAAAGTGTAAGGCAGGAATAGGCCTTCACATCTCAGGGCTGGAGAGGCCGCCAATCGGAGGAGGGCAGAGGCCAGAGCACCTACACCCTTGAAAGGCACAGTGAGGAATTTGAATTTTATTATAAGTGCACAGAAAACTATTGAAGGACTTTTTACCTTTTTAGAAAGTCATACAGACAAATGCCCAGATCCTTAATATATAGCTCAGTGAATTTTTATAAAGGGAACACACCCATGTTCTGGGCACTCAGATCAAGATGTGGGTCATTACAAGAACCCCAGACATGCCTCCCACCAGGCCCTACCCCACACCAACAAGGGCCCCACTATCCTGACTTCTATCCCAGAGGTTAGTTTTGTCTGGTTAGCACTTTATATAAATAGAATCATACAGAGTGGACACGTTTGTTCTGGTTTATCGAGGTCAACATTATGTTTGTAAGTTTCATCCATATTGTTACACAGTGCTGTAGTTTACTATTTCTAATATTTACACAATTATTTCCATTGTGTAAGTATTACTACAATTTATTTAAACATTCTACTGTTGATGGATATTTGGATAGTTCCCAACTCGGGTTTATTCTAAATAATGCTCTATAAACATTCCTGTAAATGTCTTTAGGTGAATGTACGTTTGCATTTCTGTTGGATAGATACCTAGGAGTAAAACGGCTGATTCTTGAGGTATGCAAATGTTCGGTGCTAACAGATATTACCAAAGAGTTGTCTGAAGTACTTATGCCGATTGTATTCCCACCAGCAAAGGGTGAGAGTTCTAGTTGCTCCATACCCCGCTGGATATGGCTGGCTGCTGGGTGGTGACGAAACAGTAGGAGGTCAGCACTGTGTGCAGGAAGACCAGACTGAGGTCACTACAGTTGTCCAGGGGAGATGATAGTGGCTTAGATGAGGCCAGTGGCCACGGAGATGGAGAAAATTAAACAGACTCGAGCTATAAACTCAGTGCTTCCTCCTGCCTTTTCAATTACCCTTCTCTTTTCAATGAGAAGAGATAGCAGAGAGCAAGACAGACGAGTTCAGACGACAAAAGGAAACACTTTGGCTAGAAAAGTAAAAATCAGGGACTTCCCTGGTGGTCCAGTGGCTAAGACTCCATGCTCCCAATGCAGGGGGCCCGGGTTCCATCCCTGGTCGGGGAACTAAGATCTCACATGCCGCAACTAAAGATCCCGCGTGCTGCAACTAAGATCTGGTGCAGCCAAATAAATAAGTAAATATTTTTTTTAAAAAATCACAAACAGGGCTTCGCTGGTGGCACAGTAGTTAAGAATCTGCCTGCCAACGCAGGAGACACAATGCAGGGTTTGATCCCTGGTCCGGGAAGATCCCACATGCTGCAGAACAACTAAGCCCTGTGCGCTACAACTACTGAGCCTGTGCTCTAGAGCCCGTGAGCCACAACTACTGAGCCCGCGTGCTGCAAGTACTGAAGCCCACGTGCCTAGAGCCCGTGCTCCACAACAAGAGAAGCCACCACAGTAAGAAGCCCGCGCACCTCAACAAAGAGTTGCCCCCACTCGTGGCAACTAGAGAAACCCTGTGCGCAGGAACAAAGACCCAACACAGCCAAAAATAAATAAATAAATTTATATTAAAAAAAACACAAACAGAGAGGTCGTTTGAAATTGGTAAATCCAAATTCCAGGTGTCTTTGGATCCAGGAGCTTCTGCGTAAGTGATGTAAACAGAAAGGCTAAGCAAGGGGGCCAGCATTGGCCCTAGACCTGCCATGAGACATGGAAGAGGGAAGAGTGTCTGGTGGAAAGTTCATTCGACTCTGCAGGTGTTTCTGTAAGGTTGCTGTGGATGATATAATGGAACTAAAACTCTCAGCCCCTCCTTTGGAGAAGATCAAAATGCCGCCTTGTTGGTGTGTGCCAGACAAGGAAGACAGGGAGGCACAGATCCAGAGAGCTGTGGAATTCCAGAGATGGGAAGACAGGCAAAGAACCTGGTCTGGTGCAACAAAGTTAAGGCTGGAGCCAAAAGTGAGATGCCTCGAACGCCTTCGTGGAGTTCAGTCTTGATGGGCTACTCTTTGAGGAGACCCTAAAGGATTGGATCGGGAAAAGACCAGTTGAAAGCTAAGTTTAATCTGGCGGTAGCAATGTAGTATGGAATGTGAGTTGGCACAGGGCAAGAGATACAAAAATCTAGTAGGGAGGCTGAGCACATCCTTCTCATGGGAGGTGATTGGGGATTGACCGTGGGGAAGAAAAAAGGACTGACAGATTCAAGAGCCATTGAAGGAAGTCCCAAAGACTTGAGGTCTGGCTAGGTGTGAAGGATTCAAGTTTTTAGGCTGGGGTGACCTGCAGGATATTTCCACTGATGGAGACAAGAAAGCCAAAGGGAGATGAATTGGGGGGAACAAATTGTGAGATTAGTATGAGGCTGGATGAACTTAAGCTAAAACCAAGACATTCAAACGAACATACCCTTCAGGCAGTTAGATTTGAATTTGGAGGCATCAATTTAGGAGACAACAATTGTTAGAGGAAGCAGCTGATGCCCTGGAAGGGGATGGGCTCTCTGAGGAGGGCCACGGAAGAAAGAAAGACAAAGTGGATCAAGGCTGGATCTTGGGGATTCCTACTCTTCCCATCAGAGTCTTACATGCTCCTCCACCCTCCACCATAATCCCAGTTCACCAGGCATTCCAACACCACTATTCCTTCCTGCCGCTGAGGGACTCTATAGTTATTGACCATTTACTCTGAGCAAGTCTTGACATCAAGGCAACCTGTTATTTCATTAAATCCTGAGAACAGCCCATTTCACAGAGGACAAAACTGAGACCCAGAGAGATGAATCAATTCACGGAGTGTGAAGTGAGCACAAGGTTGGCATTAAACCCAGGCCTCCTGACTGCCATTCAGTTGGACACCTACTGTATGCTGAGATTTATGGGGGATATAATGATATTGCGCCCTATCCTCCTGGAGGCTACAATCTGGACAGAGATAAGTAGGCACATAAATATGGGTAAATTTAAAGCAGAGCCGCACAGTGCTCCAGGAGAAGTAGAGATAAGGTCTCCCTATAGTCCAAATGGCTGAAGGCAATCACAGGAAGCTTACCTCGTCACAATACGGGGTAAGTGCTGATCCAAGTTGGGGACCTGCATGACTCGCTATCACATCGACTCTGATCCCACAGGTACTGTGTCCAGGAATTTCCGCCGTCCGGGCAGGGGGCAAAGGCTGTTGTGGTGCAGGCTGCTGTGGGAATCGCTGCAGGGTAAGATGCAAATTAAGACGGCACTCAGCATAGGTCTTTGAATCTGTCTTCGAAGAATCACACCTAAACCCCTCCACAGAATTCCCAGCTTCACGAGCTCCTCTGCAGAGTCCTAGGCTTCATCTTACCGCTCCCTCGCACCCGCAAATCTTAGGCTTCAGTGAGCCTGACCGGAGGGAACTACAATCCCCATGAACCTCCGCGGCCAGTGGCTCTTAGAATTAGCCGAACTCCAAGCCCTGGAGTTTGACGGGAAATGTATTTTTAACGAGACTGGCTAGAGCTCGGTAACAAAGCGGGGGCGGGGGGGGGGGCGGGCGCTAGGCGCGCTGTGCCCACGAGTGGGGCGGGGACGGCCCAACTCACCTCTCCTCGCACTCTGTATCCAGATGCTGCGATCGGTCTTCTGCTCGGCGTTCGGGATGCTTGGTGCCATCTACTGCCTCTCGGTATCAGGAGCCGGGCTCCGAATTGGACCACGATGCTTAATGCACGGCTCCTGGGACTACCACTTCCAACACACCGCGTAAGGCTCAGCCTGTATTCGCGCCCCCGCCCCCATTCTCTGCTGCTGCCCACCTGCCTTTCCCACGTGGACCGAGAAACCTAGGTGGGATTCGGCTTCGAGACAGCTTCCTCCACGTGGGCCGAACGAGTCCTTTGCATATCCCCCTCGGCGCCTGCGCGGGGCGGGGAGCCCCGAGGGGGGCGCGCTCCGCGTGACCTCCTCTCCCGTGACCCTGCCCCGCCCGCAGAGGCTCCTACCTGCTCAACCGCACTCAGTGGAGCTCGTGCGTGGAGCCGCCTGGTGTGGTCTACTGGAACGTGACACTCTTCTCGCTGCTGGTGGCCGCCTCGTGCCTGGAGATTTTGCTGTGTGGGGTGCAGCTGGTGAACGCGTCCATTGGTGTCTTCTGCGGCGATTGTCGGAAGAAGGAGGTGGGACTGTGTGGGATGGAGCTGTCGAGAAAATCTATTTGCTCCCTGACTAAGTCCTCACTTTTTTTCCGCAGGGCGCCCCTCACTGAGGCTCCACGGACCTGGTCCGTCGCTCCTGGACACCCGCCTGGCCCGCCCACGCCCTGGAATAAACTATTTAGAGCTCTCTTCCGCGTCTCAGATTGTGCCCTTTACAAGGAGTGTCCGAAGGTCTCCATATACACCGTGGCTTGGGGCTCTCGTGTTTGGGACCCTTGCACCCCGCTTGTTATTTCCTTAATAAATAGTTATTGAACTATTAGTGCACTAGAAATACTGTGTAAACAAGACAGGCAAGTTCTGTGCTCTTAAAGAATTTAACATTCCAGGGGTAGAAGATGGACAATTTTTAAAAGAGGCAATAGATTATTTTAATTGGTGATAAGCACTTTTTAAAAACACGGAGGTAGTGGGATAGATATTGACTGATGGATGGACTTTTTTAATAAGATAAAGTCCAAGAAAGAGAAATTGGAGCTGAAATCTGGTGGATGGGCTAACCATCTGGACAGTTGGGGGATTCCAGGCAGAGAGGGCAGCAAGGACGAAGACCCTCAATGGGACTCAGTATACAGAAAAGCCACTGTTTGAGTTTTGGCGCAGCGGGGAAGGAAAACTATGGAAAAGACATCTTAGCCTCCTAAGTTCTAGAAAATGAAACCTTAAGACGATATAGCATTGTCACCTCCTAATTTGGTAGAAATTTCTTGATCTGGGGTCACTGGGGGTTCAGAAAGGAAACAACCTGGTCTCTTAATGGGGACGATGTATCTGCAGAGGCTCACAGAAAGGCAGGGACTTCCTTAACTTGTACGCAAAATTGTGTTTAAGTGTGTCTTTTCTGAACTATGGGTCGGTAACTTTCAGTAGCTTGCCATGGACTCCTGAAACCAAATCCTAATTGGGCCTGGCCCAATGCTAGGTTAGGAGGAAGATGGGGCTACGCAGTTTCCCACCCCTAAAACAAGAGAGACCAAAGCCAAGATAGAGAAGCTTTAATAGCGGAGGTGGGACTAGGCTTGGGCTGGGAGAGGGCGGCGATGGTGTCAACTGCGGCAGCAGAAAAAGCGCGCGTCGTTAACAGCGGTGTCATCGCGGAGGCCTCTAGGCCGCTCGATCTTGGTCTGCAAGCCGCACACTCCTTTAGGGCATGGCTCACTCCAGTTTCCAAAGTCTCCCCAGGACAGACCGGGCCCCTGCAACTCCGTGCTGTCGGAGCAGCGGAAGCGCACGTTGTTCGCAGCCGTGTTGTCCCCGGGGGTCACGGGTGCCTCCAAGCGAAGCGAGAAAGCCACCAGGAAGCCGCCGCCGGGACACCACAGCGGCTCACTCCACGCGCCCCACCTGCGAGGAAAGCAGAGACGCGCGGTCTCCGCGGGCGCCCCCACCCACCTCCAGCCGGACCCAGGCCTCGGGGCTTCCCAGTCAGGTGCTCCAGTCACCTGACCTCCACCGAGGTGCGGAGCTGGGAGTCTCCCACCCGCTTCCCAGGTCTAAACCTCCCCACAGCGCTGGAGGAACCTGCCTATCGGTAGGGGATGCGTGTAATGGAGAGTAAGGGGCATACCCCGACCCTAGGGGATCCTCGGCCCCTGCCCCCCACCTTCCAGACTGGGACTCCACCACGTGCGTGTTGAGCTCCCCATTCCCGCGCGCGCAGTGCAGCCGGATTCCGTTCAGAGACGTGTCGTCGCCAGGAATGCCTTGCGGGGGCTTCACCTGGGCGGCGGAGGACGAGTCAGAAGACTGCCATCCTCTGCTTGGGGTCCCCACCGAGACCTAGGCCTGAGCCCCTACCTTGAGTGAAAACCCGCTGGCGAAGAATCCGTCAGGACACATCTCTGGCCAGGCCCAGTCGCCCCAGGGCCCCCCGTTGGTCACCTCGATGACCAATGTGTAGCCGCTCGACGCATCTGCTCTTGCACGCCCGAAGCACGTCGCCCACAGCAGCAGAAGCAGCTTGGCTCCCGCGCCCCGCTCCATCCCGCGGCCTCTGTGAGCCCAGGCCCTTTATGCAGGTGTATACCACCTTTGCCCTAAGAGGGCTCCGACTGCGGAAGGGCCACCTGGATTAAGTGACACTCAAAACTAATCCGTTCCGGAAGCCTACAAACTTGTTTCTCAGCTCAGGGAGACTGACGCTCCCAGCGCCAGAGGAGGAGGGTTTAAATAACCACCAACCTACCGAACGTTTACAGACTATAGGCCACGAATCGTGGTTAGCGTTTTGCTGGCATGTTTTATTTAATCCACACAACAATTTTAGGAGGTGAGAATTACCATTCCTATTCTGCCAGTGAGGGAACTAGGGCTGCGAAATTGCAAGCGACTTGCCTAAGGTCACAGTCAGCAAGCCAGGGAACATTCCAGCACTAGGAAATGGGGAACCCACGGCTAGGGATGGAAGTGACGGTTCCAGAATCCCACTGCACAGGGACCCCAGGGACCTCCAGGATGTGAGGGAGCATCGGAGTGAGACAGGGCAAGAATCCATGAACTGTGGGAGCTGGGAAGCATCTTGTGAGTGATTGGGGCCCCGACTCCTTGAGAATCTGGGACATCCCTTCCCCTCAAAAGAAAATGTACACAGAGACAGGAACAGTTTTAAAAAGTTTATGGACAGGGAACTGAGAACAGGAGACGACGCTATTTCTTTCATCGCTTCCTGTAGCCTTTCCCTCAATGTTTTTCCCCCTGTGACCACCAGGGGGACTCCTAATTAAAAACAAAAAATTGTTGTGGGGAGTACCACCCCTGCCTGATTTGCCTGCCCTTCATACACATTCCTTTGTCTATTCAATATTACTTATTTAGAAATAATGTGTTTGGGCCCAGGCAATATTCTAAATGCTAAATAGAGCAGCCACCAAGAAAAGGCCCCTGTCTTCATCAGAGCTCACACTCCAGTGGGGGAGACAGATGATAAATTCTCCAATGGACCCTGAGCTCTGTGAAGGCACATTTGTCTTCATGGGGCCTAGTACAGGGCCTGGCATGTGGAGGTAGTTAATAAAGGTTGTTTTGATGAATGACTGAGGAATCAATTTGGAGATTAAAAAAAGTAAACTACAAAAATGTAAAAGGTGACAGCCTAAACTATATAATTGAGACCTCAGGCACCCAGATTAAGATAAGGTCCCCTGGGCTTCCCTGGTGGCACAGTGGTTGAGAATCCGCCTGCCAATGCAGGGGACACAGGTTCGAGCCCTGGTCCGGGAAGATCCCACATGCCGCGGAGCAACTAAGCCCGTGCGCCACAACTACTGAGCCTGCGCTCTAGAGCCCGCGAGCCACAACTACTGAGCCCTCGTGCCACAACTACTGTAGCCCGCGCGCCTACAGCCCGTGCTCCACAACAAGAGAAGCCACCACAATGAGAAGCCCGCGCACTGCAACAAAGAGTAGCACCGGCTCACCACAATGAGAGAAAGCCCGCGCGCAGCAACGAAGACCCAACGCAGCCAAAAAATAAATAAATTTATAAAATAAAAAATAATAATAAGATAAGGTCCCCTGGGGACAGGGCAGAGAATTTAGAAGAGGGTGTTCTCTGAATCCCAGGTGCCCCTCCCTTGAACTTAAAAGGTAAGATTTATGGAGCAACTGTAGTAAGCTTTTCCATTTACAGTGTTTGCACATACGATATCAGTTAATCCTCACATGAAGCCTGCAAAGAACATATTATCCTCAATGTACAGTGGAGGGAACTCAGGCCCAGAGTCAACTTAGGGTCCACCATTGCTCAGTGGGGGAACTGGTTCTGACCTCAGCCTCTCCTCACAATACCCAGCCTTCCTCTTACTACAACCTGGCCTTACAGGGAAGGGAAATGTAGCGACGTGTCACTGCTACCGAATCCCCCAAATCCTCTTCACTGAGTCCCTCTCTCCTCAGATGCTGCCCTCTGGGGCAAAGGGCACAGGGGAGGGGGACTTAGTAGGTTAATTATTAATCCTTTGCGCCTCAGGCACTGCGGCTTCTCTCCCCTCCTGGAGGCGAAGGGACAAGGCCTGGCGAGGGGCTGGTGAGGGGGCGGTGGTCCCTGCAGCAGCCATGCGGGTCGCACTGCCTCAGCCGGTCCCTCGGCGCTGGTTGCGCAGTGCGATTCCTCTTGCTGTCTTCACACTACTGCTTGTTTATCTCTGGGCTCGGAGCCTCCGTGAGTACCCCTTCCCTCACCTGCTCTGGGAGGAACCGGGGAATCCAGGCCCTTGAGACCTAAGGTCTCTCCTCAAGCCCTCGTTGTTCTGTTTCACTTCCCTCAGGTGCCCTCTCAGGCTGCAGATCTGGGGCCCAGTCCTGCATTGCCAGGGAACCGCCTCCTTTCCAGGTATGCTCCCGGAAGGGCTGGGACTGGGAGCTCCAGGTAGGACCCTGAGCAGGGGGAAGTGCACCAGGCTGAGGATCCGATGAAGGGCAGGCCCTCCTCCTCCTCTCCCTTCTCCCGTCAGAAGCTGAGAATACAGCAAGAGGGACACCATCTAGATTTTAGAAATAATTTCTTCAGAGCCCAACTGGGCTGCTTGGCGAACCTAGCAAGCTAGGGCTTCTGCTCCCACTCCTTTCCCCTCCTATCTCACCCCCAGGACCGGCAACAGTCGGGACCCTTGGAGGCCCCGGAACGGGAAGAGCCTCAGTGTCTGGGCCCTCAGGGGATGCTGGGCCGCATGATGAGGCCGTTCCGCGCCAGTCTGAACCCGGAAAGGGATGTGGAGTTGTCGCAGTACCTGGCAGGATGGAGGGAGCTAGTACGGTGAGTGGTCTCTCCCCCAACCCCATCCAGTCCCCGCCTCTTTGTGGCTCCATCTCCCTCTCTCAAACCTTCCTACCCTTCCCACCATCACACACAGGTTCCTAACTCCCCTCGGCTCCATCTTCGCCTTCGCCACAAGCGAGGCCTCCGCCAAAGTGAAAGCCCTCGAGGCTCTGGTGCACGGCCCAGAGGCCGCGCACTACACGTCGCTGGCGACCATGGTAGCGTGGGAGCGGCCCGGGATCGCCCCACGACTCTCGGCCGGGTGCCCGGGCTCAATGACGATGCTCTTGCTGCACCGTGCGCTACGCTGGTCCCAGCTCTGCCTCCACCGGGTGGCTACCGGGATGCTCGGAGGCCCGGACGCTGGCGCTCAGTGCAGCGACGCCTACGGCACGGCCCTGGCTCCGCACCACCCCTGGTTCGTCCGTCAGGCCGCTCACCTCGCATTCCTCGCCTTCCCGGGTCGCGGCCGCTTGCTCGAGCTGGCGTGTCCGGGTTCCAAAGAGGCGGAGGCGCGGAACGCGCTGGTCCGGGCCGCGGGCACCCTAGAGGATGTCTACAACCGTACTCAGGGCTTGTTGGCCGACGGCGGCCTGCTCGAGCTGGCCTGACGCCTACTGGCCGGAGGAAGGAAGCGCCCTGGGGAGCGGTCGGTGCAACTCCAGGTTGAGCCCTCGGCCCCGCCTCCCGGGGGCCACCACCCCTGGAGGCTCACCTCGATAGGGGTGGGTTTTTTGGACCCTGCCTCTATCCGCAATCTCCGGGAGAAGGGAGGAGCTGTGGGGAATAAAAAGTATTCTTTGGGACTTCCCTGGTGGCAGTGGTTGAGAATCCGCCTGCCAATGCAGGGGACCCGGGTTTGAGCCCTGGTCCGTAAGATCCCACATGCAGCGGAGCAACTAAGCCCGTGAGCCACAACTACTGAGCCTGTGCTCTAGAGCAGCGAACCACAACTACTGAGCCCACAGGCCTAGAGCCCTTGCTCGGCAACAAGAGAAGCCACCGCAGTGAGAAGCCTGCACGGCAAGGAAGAGTAGCCCCTGCTCGCCGCAAGTAGAGAAAAGCCCGTGCACAGCAACGAAGACCCAACGCAGCCTAAAATAAATAAATAAATTTATTTTAAAAAAAGTATTCTTTGGTAGCCGTCGATTTAGGGCGTTTTGTGTGATGACAGCAGGCGCTTAAGGGAAACAGGAAAAAATAGATGTGGGAAGATGTGTCATCCAGCCGCCGAGAGACTCACGCTACCCCTGGCCTATGTCAACCACTCCTACAGCTTCAGTTGCCAACTACGTGCCAAGTCTCCAGACCAGACCTGTCCCCTGAGCTGCAGCCCCCATAAAGTGAACTCTTTCCTGGACACCTCCACAGACACCACAAATGCAACACATCCAACACGAATCCAGTCACCTCCTCCCAGAACTGCACCTCTTCTTGTGTTTCCTATCTCAATAAATGACACCCTTTCCTGTCAACTACCCAAGGCTAAAACCTGTGCGTCTTGCCTCACACCAAGCAAGTGCTCAGCTCAGTAATGTATGTTTATTAAATGACTCCACTCCCACAATAGTAAAGTTACACACTAATTCCCAAATTATAACTCCAACCCACTTTCCCCTGGACTCCAGAATACTATATATCACTTCCTTATTCCACACCTCCACTTGGATTTCAACTAGAGATAGCAAACTTAACAAGTCCAAAACTGAGCTTCCAATATTCTCTCCTCCCAAAATACTCCACAGTCCTCGCTAGCTCAGCAAACGACAATTCCATTCTTCCAGGTCCTTAAGCCAAAATCCTTGCAGTCATCCTGACTCTTTGGTTTCTCTTTCATCGTACCCACCTCCAAGCAGTCAGAATCTATTTCTCACTATCTCCACTGCTACCAACCTTGTCAAGTCAACTTCATCTATCACCTGGATTATTGCAATAGCCTCCTAATTGTTTCTCTCTTCCATACTTTGCGTCCCTCCAGTGTATTTTCAACAGAGCAGCCAAAGTGATCTTTAAAATATAAAGCATATCATGTCACTTCCCTGCTCAAAACTTTCCAACGGCTTCCTATTGCAGGAAATTTTCTGGATCATATTTTCAGTTGAGAATGATGAAAAGCTTCTCAAAGGCCCTATGTGATCTGATTGCACTAGCCAAACTGACCTCGTCAATATTCATTGAATATGTCAGGCATGATCCTGCCTCATGACTTTGCACTTGATCTTCCCTCTGTCCAGAATGCTTTTCCCCAAAATATACAAATGACTCCCCTCCTTCCTTCTGGTCTTTATTTAAATGTCTCTCCAGTGAGACCTTCCCTGATTATTCTTTCTAAAATTTCAACACACACACACACACACATCTTCCTATCTCCCTTCTTTGCTTTTTCTTCTTAATATGATTCACTATTTAACATGCTGTATATTGCACTTACTTTTTTGTCTCCCTTAATACATGTAAGTTCCATGGGGCTAGGAATTTCTGTCTACTTTGTTCCCTGATGTACTTCCAGTGCCTCAAACTCTGCCTGGCACCCAGTAGACATTCAACAGCTTTTGCTGAATGAATGTATGAGCACTAAAAATAGTTCAGATGGCTGGAGACAAGAGTGTCAAAAAGAAAAGAGGGGATTACACAACAAAGTAAATGTACTTCATGCTACTGAATTGTACACCAAAAATGGTTAAAATGCTAAATTTTATGTTATTTATATTGTATTACAATAAAAAATTTAGAAGTAAATAAGAGATGTGATTCCAGACAGGTGGGCAGGAGTGAGTACATGAAGGGCCTTATAAACTATGTTATAGAGACAGGACTTTATCTTGAGAGTTAATTTTAAGTGGGGGATTGTCTGGATCATATTTTCAATTCAAAACACCAGCTCCAGGGATTCTCTGGTGGTCCAGTGGTTAAGAATCCATCTTGCAATGCAGGGGATGCTGGTTCAATCCCTGGTCAGCGAACTAAGATCCCACATGCCGTGGGGCAACTAAACCCACGTGCTGCAACTACAGAGCCCACCTGCCACAACTAATGAGCCCCTGTGCTCTGGAATCCGTGCATTCTGGAGCCTGCACACCACAATTAGAGAGAAGACCACGCACCACAACGAAAGATCCTGCGTGACACAACTAAGACCCTACGTGGCAAATAAATAAATACTTAAAAAAAAACAAAAAACACCAGCTCCAGCTGCAGTATGTAGAAATAGTATGGCAGGTTCATAGGAGGACTACTCCACACAGTAACAGCAAAATACACATTCTTCTCAAGCGCACATGCAACATTCTCCAGGATGGACCATAGGGTAGGCCACAAAAAAGTCTCAATTAATTTAAAAAGGTTGAAGTCACAAAATATTCTCCAACTAAACTGGAGTGAAATTAGAAATCAATAGCAAAAGGGAATTTAGAAAATTCACAAGTATGTGAATTTTCCTAACCAACCACTGGGTCAAAGAAGAAATCACAGGGAAAATATTTTGAGGTTAGTGAAAATGAAAACAAAACATACCAAAACTTGGGATACAGCATAAGCAGTGCTCAGAAGGAAATGTGTAGCTATGAATGCCTATATTAAAAATGAAGAAAGATCTCAAATCAACAGCTTAACCTTCTACCTTAATAAACTAGAAAAAGAAAAGCAGGAAATTCCCTGGCAGTCCAGTGGTTAGGACTCCCCACTTCCACTGCATGGGGCCTGGGTTCAGTCCTTGCTTGGGGAACTAAGATCCTGCAAGCCACGTGTCACAGCTGAAAAGATAAAAGAAAAGAAAAGAAAAAGGAGAGCAAACTAAATCTAAAGAAAGCAGAAGGAAGGAAATAATAAAGATTAGGGTGTAAATAAATGAAATAGAAAACAGAAAAACAATAGAATCAACTAAAACAAAAGTTGGCTCTTTGAAAAGACCACTAAGATTGACGAACCTTTAGCTAGACTGACCAAGAAAAAGAGAGAGAAGATTCAAATTACTAAAATCAAAAATGAAAGAGGGGATGCTGTGGAGCAACTAAGCCCATGCACCACAACTACTGAGCCTGCACTCTAGAGCCTGTGAGCCACAACTACTGAGCCTGTGTGCTGCCACTACTGAAGCCTGTGTGCCTAGAGCCTGTGCTCCACAACAAGAGAAGCCATCGAAATGAGAAGCCCGCACACCACAATGAAGAGTAGCCCCCGCTCGCCACAACTAGAGAAAGCACGCACGCAGCAACAAAGACCCAATGCAGCCAAAAAAAAAAAAAGAGTTTATAGAAGAAAATACAAAAAAGTATTAAAAAAAAAAAAAGAGGGACTTCTCTGGTAGCGCAGTGGTTAAGAATCCGCCAGCCAATGCAGGGGACACAGGTTCGAGCCCTGGTCCAGGAAGATCCCACATGCCGCAGATCAACTAGGCCTGAGTGCCACAACTACTGAGCCTGCGCTGTAGAGCCTGCAAGCCACAACTACTGAGCCCGCATGCCACGACTACTGCAGCCTGCGTGTCTAGAGCCTGTGCTCCGCAACAAACAAAAGCCGCTGCAATGAGAAGCCTGCACACCACAACGAAGAGTAGCCCCCGCTCGCCACAACTAGAGAAAGCCCGCACACAGCAACAAAGACCCAACACAGCCAATAAATAAATTAATTTAAAAAAAAAAAAAAAAAAAAAAAAGGAGGAAACATTACTAACGATCTTACAGAAATAAAAAGTATTATAAGGAAATACTGTAAACAACTGTAGGCCAATAAAGTAGATAACCTAAATGAAATGGACAAATTCCTAAAAAGACACACACTACCAAACCTGACTCAAGAATAAATACAAAATCTGGGACTTCCCTGGTGGCCCAGTGATTAAGAATCTGCCTGCCAATGCAGGGGACACAGGTTCAAGCCCTGGTCTGGGAAGATCCCACATGTCGCGGAGCAACTAAGCTGCAACTAAAAAAAAGCCCATACGCAGCAATGAAAACCCAATGCAGCCGAAAATAAATTAATTAATTAATTTTAAAAAAAAGAAAAGAAAGTGAGAAGACAGTCCATGGAATGGGAGAAAATATTTGCAAATTGTATGTCTGATAAAGGTGTAGTATGTAGAATATAAAAAGAACAATTAGGATTATGGGATTAACAGATGCAAACTACTATACATAAAATAGATAAACAACAATGCTTTACTGTATAGCACAGGGAGCTATACTCATATATCTTGTAATAGCCTATAATGGAAATATAGATATATATCTTAATAACTTTGCTATACACCTGAAACTAACACAATATTGTAAATCAACTATACTTCAATTTTTAAAAAAGTTTGATGTTGGGAGTTCCCTAGTGACCGAGTGGTTAGGATTCTGGGCTTTCACTGCAGGGGCCCGGGGTTTAGTCCCTGGTGGGGGAACTAGGATCCCACAAGCCGCGCGGTGCGGCAAAGGAAAAAAAAAGAAAAGAAAAAATTTGATGCTTTGCTCGTGAAGGGAAAAAAAAACCCCGCATAACTCAACAATAAAAAGATAACCCAATTTTAAAACAGGCAAAGGACTTAAATAGGTATTTTTCAAAAGAAGATATACAAATGGTCAATCAGCGCATGAAAATATGTTTAATGTCACTCATCACAGGGAAAAGCAAAAACAACAACAACAACAACAACCCCACAAGATATCACTTCACACCCACTAGGATGGGTAAAATTAAAAATGCACCACAAGAATTAGGAAGTGGAGAAATCGGAATCCTCATTCATGGCTGGTGAGAATGTAAAACGAGGCAGCTGCTGTGGAAAAGCTGTCAGTTCCTTAAAATGTTAAACAAAAATTTACTAAATGACCTAACAATTTCACTCCTAGTATATACGTCTAAGTATATACCTAAGAGAGATGAAAACATAGTGCGGTCATTCTAAATCGGAGACGCTCAAGTCTATCCTGAAGCCTCTTTGAATCGCAGCTCCGATCAGTCCCGCATATACCGATAGGAACGTAGTTTTTCCAGACGGTTTGGATCTGTTTGTTGTTTGGGTTTTTTTGTTTGTTTGTTTCTCGTTTCTTTGTTTGCCACCCACGCTGCCATCAAGCTCTCACGGTCGCAAAGAAGGTTCACTACACATTTCTTTTCCTTTCTGCCGTCAACCGTGGCGCAGCTTCGCCCCCAGAAGGCCTCAGAGCACGACTAAAGAGGGTGACGGAGCGCTTTACGACAGTTGCTTTGTGGCCGTACCGGAGGAGGAAGATGGCGGCCACCTTAGTAGCTGCTCGGGGAGCGCGGCCAGCACCAGCCTGGGGGCCTGAGGCCATTACCCCCGACTGGGAAAACCGAGAAGTCTCAACAGGGGTAAGGAAGGACTCGGGGTTCACGAGATATGCACAAGGATTGAAACGATGGAAAGATAAGGCTGGAGTGGGTTGGGAGAACTGGAGGGGCGGGGAAGAGAGATGGTCTGTGTGATGCTGTTAGGCAGGGGAGGGGTATCCTAAGGACGCAGGAGTGGTGTGGGAGGAGGTGGAAGGTAGGCTGAAGCGTGGAATTCTGGAATCTTGCAGGACGAAAGCTTAAGGTCAGGGTGGGCCTTTGGGAACTTGAAGATTGAATTTCTGGTATTCTGCGGGTTATTGAGAACCCCATGAGATTTGACGATGTGTTGGTGGCGCACGACTTTTCTTATACTCTAGGGACTGGATAGACGGACCATTAAGGTTTGTGTATGCTGGAGAATATGGAGAGGCCCAGACTCACTCCTTTCTCCTCTTTCTCCAGACCACTATCATGGCCGTGCAGTTTGAAGGGGGCGTGGTTCTAGGAGCCGACTCCAGAACAACCACTGGGTGAGCTCAGGACAGATATGTGAAGGGTCTTCTTCCCGTCTTTCCCTTCCTTCCTTCCTTGCCTGCCAGCCCATCCTTACTCTCCATAGACTACTGTGGGAAGGGAGGTTTCGCCCCTCCCGGGAGATAAGGATTTGTTCCAGCTTCTATTGCTTCGTAGTTCTCTTCACCTTTTGGTGAACTTCTTGCAAAAGTTTGTTCTCCAGCCTGCTTCAGTTTAGATGAGAACTAACAGGAAATACTGGAATTCCTGTTGAGGGAGTGGATGGTAAAAGATGAAAGTGGGAGACAGGTGGGGTCCTTCCCTCACTATTCTGCTATCCTGCAGGTCGTACATCGCCAATCGAGTGACTGACAAGCTGACCCCTATTCACGACCGTATTTTTTGCTGCCGCTCAGGCTCAGCAGCTGATACCCAGGCAGTAGCTGACGCAGTCACTTATCAGCTTGGTTTCCACAGGTACTTGTGGGCAGTGGGGGAGCAAGTATCTGAAAGGAGTTGGGACCTGAGGAGCGGAATAGTCTGACTTCCAGGTCCTGACACTGCCTTCCCTATGACTCCCTTCACCCTCTAGCATCGAGCTGAATGAGCCTCCGCTGGTACACACGGCAGCCAGCCTCTTTAAGGAGATGTGTTACCGATACCGAGAAGACCTGATGGCAGGAATCATCATTGCGGGCTGGGACCCCCAAGAAGGGGGGCAGGTCAGATACCACCACCCCGAGAACATTGGAGCCATGCCTTTCATTCTCTCCCCACCGCAGGCATTTTCTAGTTCTCTTTCCAGTCTCTACATCGCTTACTATTAACTTTTCACATACCAGTTCCGCAGTGGACAGGCGAACATATGTGTGTTGTGGGGAGGGTACAAATGGTGACACTCTTCTCCTCCCTCTGTCTGGCAGGTGTATTCGGTACCCATGGGGGGTATGATGGTAAGACAGTCCTTTGCCATCGGGGGCTCCGGGAGTTCCTATATCTATGGCTATGTTGATGCTACCTACCGGGAGGGCATGACCAAGGAAGAATGTCTGCAATTCACTGCCAATGGTGAGAACTGCGGCTTCTGGGTCTGTGAGCATAAATCCCCATACTCAAGCCAGGTCAGCATTCCTCTTTCCTTGCCACGATCCCAGCATCTGACTCCAATCCCAACTTTCTTCTTTTCTCCACAGCTCTCGCTTTGGCCATGGAGCGGGATGGCTCCAGCGGAGGGGTGATCCGCTTGGCAGCCATTGCGGAATCAGGGGTAGAGCGGCAGGTACTTTTGGGAGACCAGATTCCCAAATTCACCATTGCCACTTTACCACCTCCCTGAATCCTAGGATTCTAAGATACAACAAGAGACATCCCATACTGATGACAAAATTCAATAAATAGTTTGTCAGTGAGAACCTGTGTGCTTTGGGGTTCTTTTCTTAACCTCAAGCCTGAACTTCTCTGGCCCATTTCTGTTTGTATAAACCACTGCCCTGAGGGAGCTGGAGAGGACCCTTCTCCAGGTCATCATGCCCCACACTTTCGTTACCATATCCAGGTCTTTGTGACAGCTAGTGTGGTTGGTGTAGGGGCTCCCAGCAAATGCCCCACTCCCCTCCCTGTTTAAGCCTAAGGGGGAACTCAGAATTCTGAGAGAGACTGGAGTCACCTCCCCTCAGCCTGCCTCCTGCCTCCTGGGAGGCTACTGGCCCTAAAGTCAGAAGGACTCCACATGTCCGACCCAGGTTCACAGTCCCCTCTCTTCACAGTCACCTCTGTCACCTCATCTTGTCAGAAGCAGCAGTGTGACTTCTTTGGCTTTTGGGAGGAAGTTGGACCTTGGTGCACATGGAGTTTACGTTTGACCTTGAGTGGGAGAGGGCGGCCACTGGGAGTGCTGTGGGTTGGCTCCAGAAGCCGCCATTCCCATGGGGAGGTGATGGGAAGTTACCTTTCAGCCCCACGGATGAGAAACTGGGAGCCGGCTCTGGCCCCTGCAAGACGGTCCCCACTCCAGCCAAGTGCTCATTGACAGTGACCGACAGTCTTGCCCTAATCTACATTTCTCCAGTCTATGGATAAGGGAACTGTGGAAGCCACATTTGAAAACCTGGTTCTAGAATATAATCCTACCCTGGAGGATTTCGGGGGGTACAGAGGAGGCTTCCTAAGGAGTTGGTGAGGTCCTGAATTAAGTGAAGAAGGATCTCTCACCCCAAATGTGTGTCTCAAAAGAACCAATGCGGAACTTTTGATTTTCTGCAAAACCTGTTCTCCCGGTCCTCCCTGTCTCAAGGCATCTTTGATTCCTCTTTCCCTTGTACTCCAAAATCCTGAGAACTCTACATCCCTCAACAGAAAGCCCTTTCCTGGCCACTTGAATTTTAAGAAACACCACCCTCCTCCACCCTGCTCTCACATTACCTGTTTAATTTTCTTCGTAGCAGTACTTACCGCTGTCTCCTATTACCATGCTTATTTATTTATTGTCTGCCTCCCCTACCAGAAAGCAGATTCAGTGAGAAGAGAGAATTCCTTGTGCTTGATTCACTGATATATTTTCAATGCCTGGCAGGGAGTGGACATTTGATAGTCACTGAACTAATACGCTCCCTAGCCCCATCTGCTGTCCTGCCTACCCCGCACCCGCTCCAAACTGCTCTCACCACACCCAACTCTGAAGCTTGATTTCAGCAAACCTACTTCCTGCTAGGCACACCTGGGCGCCGCATGAGATCAGCTGCCTCCTGTTCCCCAGTCCTGCGTCCTCACTCCCACCTCATGCTGCACTTCCCACGTCAGCCCCATAACAGCCCTGGTGTCGTGGTCCCCATCTCCTCTCCAAAACATGCACATACACACAGCACTTGGCAATTCTCAGTGTATTTAATAAGAGGGTCATGAGGGATCTGAGGGAGCTGGACACTGGGATGACTGAGAAGGCGGGGGAAGGAAGGTTGCCAAGGCCTCCTGGAAGTTCAGCCCTTGGTTGTCCCCTTCAAATGGTGGAGTCGTTGGCCGATGCTATGTCATGCAGCTGGTGGCGGAAGGAGAGACGGGCTTTCCTGCTGAAGTAGGCGCCAGACCCAAGGGACCCTCCCTCAGCCACGATGGAGGCTACAGCTGGGCTGGGATCTGGATCTGGGGGAGCAGCTGGATCCAGGCCTAAAAGGGAGATTGGAGGGGGAAGAAAGGAGTTGTGTGTCAGGAGGAGGAAAGAGACCAGGGAACCTAGGGGGTGAGTGTCGCTAGCATCAGCAGGGAGAGGAGAGGGGACGTTGGCAGCAGGGCTGGCTTCCCTGGCCTGTGACCTATGCACTGGACACGGGGCCACACTCAGAAGGGCCCCCATGCTTGGTGTAATGCTCTGCTGTCACTGTCTTGAAATTCTTAATTTTTTTAATGAGGGGGTCCCACTTCTCCATTTCGCACTGGGCCCTGCAAAGTGTTTAGCCAATCCTTTGGCGAAGTGATAAATCCACCTCCCGCCCAGGGGGCAGATTATCCTTTTCCCTTCCCTGATTTGAGCATTTACCTTTCTCCCCAGTGCAGTTTGTCTGTCTGCCTGGCAGCCCACCTTTTCCTCTGTCTCCCCCGTACCTGCTCCTCTTTCAGTCCCCCGCTGTCTCCGGCACCCACACCATGGGAAACACCATGCCCCCTTCAGATCCATCTCAATAATGGACGAGACTGGGATGCTGACAATGGCCAGGAGCGCCCTAGGAGGGGTGTGGTTTCCAAGCCCCTCCACTGTGGGCAAAACTACCACTTAGCCTCAGACCGCCTGGTGATTACAGGCGCCAGGAGATGGAAGGGGAGAAGAGGGAGGAGGGAAGGGGTGGGGGATCCCCCACTCAAACGCCTATCCTTTTGTACCCCCTTAATTTTGGGGTCGTCTCTGATCCCCATGGAGAAGCAGGAGGAGACTAGGAGGGGAGGCATGGTAGAGACAGACACACAAGTGTCGGCACAGACAGACACAGTGAAAATTCATCGTAGCAATGCCAGACGACAAGGGTGCCAGGCTGGACCCTGCTGGGGATTCATTTGTATTTTATTTTATTTTTTGTTAATATTTATTTATTTATTTATTTGGCTGTGCCGGCTCTTAGTTGCGCCATGTGGGATCTTCGTTTCCGCGTGCAGGATCTTTTAGTTGCGGCCTGTGGGATCTAGTTCTCTGACCAGGGATTGAACCCGGGCCCTCTGCATTGGGAGCGCAGAGTCTTAGCCACTGGACCACCAGGGAAGTCCCTCATTTATATTTTAGAAGGAGATTCATTTGTATTTAGAATGCCCAAGATGTAAAAAATTTAAAGAATAGTTTATTTTTTTAGAACAAGAAACTTTACTAGTTAGGGAAATGTTATGTTCTCAAATGGTCCAGTAGCTCTCGACCCCTTTTATGAAAATAGTTGTAATTGATTAATTATGCTGTGCCAGGTAGATTCTAGGGATTTTACATGTTATCTCACTTGATCGTGTCAATGATTTGTGTGTGTGTGTGGCCACGCCGTGCAGCATGTGGGGTATTAGTTCCCGGACCAGGGACTGAATCCATGCCCCCTGCATTGGGAGTCTGAACCACTGGACCACCAGGGAAGTCCCTTTTTCTTTTTAACGTCAATGATCTTTTAAAGTAAGTGTTATTATTATGCTGATCTCAGAGATGAGGAATCAGAGGCACTGGGAGATTAGGTAGCTTGCCCAAGGTCACGCAGGCAGTTATCAGAAGAGCAGTACTTTCCCTCACCCTCTTCAGTCTGACCCCAGAGTCCACTCTGCTAACTGCCACACTGAGCTTCCCAAGCATGTTCCTGACAGGTATTGCCCTCAGCCAGGTTTAAGGCAGCCAGAGCCCAGGCTGGGAGCCTCAGGTCCACAGTATGCTAACCAAGGACTCTAAATGCCCTTCAAGAGCTATATTATCATTCCCTAAGGGTATCATGATGTGGGAAAGGTTGGAAAGCACTGCTGACTATGCTGCCTGACTGAAATCTGTTATTTTATTTCTTTTTAAATTTAATTTTTATTTTATATTGGAAAATCTGTTTTTTAAATTAACTTTATGGAAGTAAAAATTTACATACAATTTAATGCACACATCTTAGTGTACAGTTCTATGAGTTTTGACAAGTGCATACACCCATGTAATCACCACCCGAATCAAGATATAGGACATCTCCATCACCAAGTTCCCCGTGTGGCCTTTACTCTCCCTCTTTTTCCCCACTCCCTGCCACAGGCAACTACTGATCTGATTTCCATCACTATAGATTGGTTTTTCCGTTCCAGAACCTTATATTAATGGAATCATATAGTACTACTCTTTTGTGTACGCTTCTTTCAGCATAATGGTTTTGAAATTCACCCGTGTTGTATGTATTAACAGTTTGTATTTTTTGTAATAACAACTTTATTGAGAAATAATTCATGCACCATAAAATTCACCCTTTAAAGTCTACAATTCAGTGGTTTTTTACTATATTCACAGAGGTGTGCAACCATCACAACTAATGTTATAACCTTCTCATCACCCTCAAGAGAAACCCTGTACCCATTAGCAGTCACTCCCCTGTCCTTCTCCCCAGCTACTGTCCCAGCTATGGTCTCTTTGAATTTACTTATTCTGGACATTTCATAGCAATGGAATCATGTAATATGTGGTCCTTTGTGTCTGGCTTCTTTCGCTTAGCATAATGTTTCAAGGTCCATCCCTGTTGTAGCATGTATCAGTACATCATTCCTTTTAATGGCTGAATAATATTCCATGGTAGGGATACACCACATTTTGTTTATCTATTCATTACTTGATGGACATTTTGGTTTGTGTCTACTTTTTCGCTATTTGAATAATACTACTGTGGACATTCATGTACAAGTTTTTGTGAGGGCATACATTTTCAGTTCTTTTTGGCATATACTTAGGAGTGGAATTGCTGGGCCACATGGTAACTCTA